AAACCATTGTGTTCTACAGAAAAACATTCGGGTATACACAAACGCAAAAAAAAGGATGGGATTAAAGAATATAATCTTGTTTGAATATTGCCTAAATATCATAGGAAATAAAAATATCGATAAAAAATAATAGATTTGAAAAGAACAAACAAAACAAATACACTGTATGGTTATTTTGTTTTAAGGATTTATTTTTTGACCTTCAATTATAGCTTTTACATCATTGGCCGATAATGTTTCAAAATGAAGAAGAGCTTCAGCAAGCATTTTAAGTTCATGTGCATGTTGTTTAAGTAAGACTTTAGCACGATCATATGATTCCTATTATAATGAAATAAAGAAAGAAAATATGAAAATTTTTTATTGATAAATAATCCAAAAAAAAAACAAAATATCAATACCTGCATTAATCTTTTAATTTCTAAATCAATCATTTCTTGCATTGTCGGACTTATATCATTAACACGAACAAAACCAAGACCAGCATCTTGTTCTTCTTCTCGAAATGATCTTGTACCAACTTTATCCGACATACCAAATTGTTTCACCTATTCAAATAAATAAATAAATAAATAAAAATTAAAAGAAAAACACTTTTTATTACCATATTTGTTGCAAGTTTCGTTGCTTGACTAAAATCACTTGAGGCACCGGTAGTTATTTTCTCAATACCAAATATTTGTTCTTCAGCAGCACGTCCAGCCATCATAACATCCATTTCAGCTAATAATTGTGATCGTGTTCGACTATATGCTTCTTTTATTGGTATATGTGCTGTATAACCAAGTGCTTGTCCACGAGGAACAATGGTTACTTTATGTAATGGATCAGCATCTTTAGTAAAATATCGTACAATAGTATGACCTGCTTCATGATAAGCTGTAATATTGTTTGTTTCTGGATCAGGTATTTTAGATTTTTTCGCTGGACCCATAAGAACTTTATCACGTGCCCATTCTAAATGATCCATAGATACAAAAGGTGAACTTGATTGAGCAGCGTAGAGAGCAGCCTGAAAAGAAAAAAAAGAAATTTCTCAAATGAAATAATATTCATATAGACAATAACCTGATTAACCATATTTTCAATATCGGCACCAGTAAAACCTGTTGTTCCTTTTGCTAAATATTCTGTATCAATAGCGTTATTGTGTATTACTTTACTAAGATATAATTCAAAAATTTCTTTTCGACCACGAAGATCTGGTGGTGCTATATGAATTTCACTATCAAAACGACCTGGTCGTAAAAGAGCTGAATCTAAATAATCACGACGATTAGTTGCGGCTAATATAATAATTCCTTCATTTTTTTCGAATCTAAATCATATTCATTAAAATGAAAACAAACAAAAAATAACTTTTTATTTTTCAAATATAATTTACCCATCCATTTCTGCCAGAAGTTGATTTATTGTTTGATTTGCATATGGATGCAATTGTGAACTTGACCGTTTAGCACCAACTGAATCAATTTCATCAATAAAAATTACACATGGTACACGAGATTTAGCAACAGCTAAAATTTATTTTTCAATGATGAACAAAACACACGCACACACAAAAAAGAGAAACTTACTGAATAATTGACGTACACGACGAGCACCCGTACCAACAAACATTTCATCGAATTCCGATCCAGATGTATGAAAAAATGGAACACCAGCTTCACCAGCAACAGCTCGAGCTAAAAGTGTTTTACCTAAAGACAGATTTTTTGCGTGTTTTATAAAGAAAACAGGGAAAACAATGACACATACCAATGCCAGGTGCACCAACAAGAAGTACACCTTTAGGAAGTCGAGCACCTAATTTTGTATATTTTTCTGAATCTCTTAGATATGCTACTATATCCATTAGTTCATCTTTTGCTTCATCAGCCTAATAAAAGCATATGATTTATTTTATGTAAAACAAATAATCAATGGATTTTATTACGCCTCGAACATCCGAAAAATTAACTTTAACATCTTCTGGATGAACTTCATATTTACTAGCTGTAGAAAAAGCAGTCGTTATTCCACCAGCATCTTGAAAAATCCATATAAATAATTTTATATATTAAATACATCAATAAACGTACATACCGCCAACAAATGCAGAAAATATTTGAATTATAAGTATTAGCAAAATACCATAATATAATATTAATCGTATTGCTCTGAATATTGATGAACGATCTTTTGGTTTAGATTCTCCAGCAGCTGCGATATAACCTATAATACAAAACATTGACATTACGAAATTTGACGATTAATGAAATTCAAACCTTCGGCAAAAGCTATTTTAGCTTTTTGTTGTTCATCAATATTTGATGTGCTACTTAACACATCTTGAAAATGTTTACTATCAATATTTTGCGATGATGAACTTCCATGAGTATATTGCGTAAACTATATAAGAAAAAAAAGACAAGTTTATAATTAAATACTCCCGTCCCCAATAGAATAGAAGCCCAGTGAGCTTCTATTGCGACCAAATTTTTTTTGTGTTGTAACTATACTTTGATTAGCTTACAAATTTAGAAGTGTTCAACAATTTATAAATCGAAATTGTCAAATTATGTATTCGATGAGTTCTTTACACTACTTTTTACATCCACATGCTCATATGTCTGCACTAGTCGATGGATCCGAATATGAATACGAACAATTGTGGTTAATACAATATTCATTTCAACTAAGAAATTACCAAGTTTTGAAGAAATTCTTATTGGATATGTAGCAATATGATTTTATCGAACGAATTCATCATGGAAGCGTAATTTGAACTGATCACTGTTTACTTTTGTAAGATGTTTCATTTTTTAGTTAAAGATTTGTCCATACTTTTATCAAGTTAATAAAAATTAATAGCTTTTCTTTTCCGAACTGTGCATAAACTCATAATGGGAAAGAAATCCAACTGAATAATATGATTGCATACCTAATTATTATTCCACAGTTCTTCGACATCTATTTGTAGATGGTAAATATGCATACACATTTTTTAAATCACAAAAGAATTTGTTTTTCTGTTGTTAGAAAACATACAATACAAAATAAATTCAGCACATAAACAGAACTATAATTGGATAATGAGAAACACTCAGTTAATCTATCTAATTTCTTACATTGTTTTTTTTCTACTCAGGTCGAACAAAGTAGGCTTCTATCCATTGTGGAAATTTAGAAGACGAAAAAAAAAACATAACTTACTCGATTGACAGCAGTTGTTGATGGTGGTTGATTTGAATCTTTTGGATAATGTGAAAAACTTTCTTCTTTTCCTCTTTTTTCACTAGTAACTGTTGATGATCGTTGTGCATCAAAAGCATTCATTGCTCGAGCTAAGCTACTTGTAGCTGCGCTAGTATGTCTACCAATCCCAGTCGCATTTGAATGTTTTGTTTTAAAACCACGTATCTGGTGGAATACTGAGCAGAAATTGAAAACGAAACATAATGAATAAAACTAGAAAAAACATATGCACCTAAATTTTGAATTTTTAATAAATCTGTATGTTTGATATGTTGAGTAATACCAACTTGACAAGAAAGACATGAAGATGATGATACTGGTGATAGTAATAATTTTTGAAGTTCTGTAAATGAAAAAAAACCAGGAATGCTATTCAATTCAAACATATAAATATTACCTTCTTTTGATAATCCATCAAATAACGATTCAATATTAACATTAAATGCTTGCTGTACAGTTGTAATTACTTTTTTATCAATTTCTCGCTACAATATACAAATCCGTTCTAGATACTATCACCATGTATTAAAGCAACCTTCCCCCCCTTTCCGAATGTTAAAATCAAATTTTTTTTTAATTTTTGGTTTCCCATCGTTAATATAGCTTCGAAGTGTCCTCTGTCAAATGTTATATAAATGAGTACTGTTCGTTGTTAGTTAGTACTTTTATTAAACCTAACTCTTGAAATCCCTAGCAGAAAAACTTGCGCTGCGATTATTCGAAAGATGTTGAGAGCATGTGTCATGGACTTATAACAGTCAGCTTTCGATCACTTTAGTTGGAGAAAAGATATCCTGATACATACATGAAAAATTTGTTTTTCGTTTTTCTCGAAATCAATTTTTACACAAGAAAAGTGCAGAACCGCTCTCGTTTCTCCGATATAGTACGTTCGATCGAGCTGAAACTTCTTCCACAAGTACTGAACACTATTTGAAAGGTCTGCTTTTTTTGTATTGAAAAATATAACATTGTTCATTTTTAGCAGATTTTACAAAAAAAAGCTCTAGTAAAAAAAAATATGTATTTTTGATGGTATGCTCAGTATTTTGATCTTTTTATTCGAATGGAAGGAGATAAAAAGTAGACATCTTAAATAGTGTCTAGTATCTATTTCAACTCTATCGGACGTATTGTAGCTGAGAAAGCGGTGGGATTTTTAGTCATTGTGACCAGATATGTCCTAGAAAGAAGTATTTAGGAATCTGGAGTCTATGACATCTTTTGCTTTACTCATCGAGATCTATCTACTCTGAAAGTTTTACATATGTCTGATGATTTATTCTTCGCGAACCCCGGAAATGGCAGGAGGTCCTTTAACAATTTTCTTACTTTTGATTGTTGGACTTGTTTTGTATTTAGGTATGATGAAAATTGTTTCAAAGCATCTTTTTTTATCGCTTGTAAACTTCGTGGTAAATAACGCATAGATTGAACAAAAAATGAAGTACATTGCGAACATAGCTAAAACAAAACATGATCATTGACATATTATTAACTCATGTTTCTTCATTTTCTCACATTCGTTGGTGTTGCAAATGAATTCATCTACAAAACATACATATGCCTAGAGTAGTACATAATAAGGTTGCTAAAAATGCATATTTCTATGATCGATGTATTTTTTGTTTTTTTATACACACAAAAATACGAAAAAAGAAAAAAATATATAAATAATATAATTAGATAAACAAATCCATAAACAGAAAGAATAGAAATTACAAGTTTTTTTTTTTTGTTTTTTTTATTTTACAAAGAATTGTTCACAAAAGTTCTAGAAGATGATCAGCTTCAAGTAAAGCTTCATCAATTAATGCAAATGTATCAACAACATCATTAGATTCATTCGGTTTGAGTAATTGATTTTCATCATCTTGATTTGGAATATTTGATAATTGAGATTCCGTAGTTCGTTTAGAAGGAGAACTTTTACTATCGGGAACACTTAATGGTATTTGTTCAATACGTTTTGTTGATGTTTGAGAAGAAGTCATCATTGGAGCTAAAGGTCGTTTAATAACAACTGATGGTGGTTGTCGTGGTCGTGGTATTTTTATTGTTGTTGTTGATGACGATGATTGCAAAGAGGGTGCAACAATCAATTGCGGTGTAAAACGTGGACGTACAGAGAAAGAAGTTACTGGTTGATGTGGCACCAGTGTAGTCGATGAAGAGTTTTTGCTTTGAGAAATTCTTGCATTTGATTCATCGGTTTGTTTTGCCGAATTTTTATCATGACTCGATAATAATGCAGATGAATGTGTAGTTGTATTGAGGGATGAGATCTCTTGATGAAGAGAAGATTGATGTTGTGATAATGAAGTAGAAATACGTTTTGATGGTGGTGTATCTTCGATTGTTGTATCTGGTGCCGTACGTTTACGTTCATTAGAAGATGATGTAATGACATTACGATTAGTAGATAAATTAATATTCGTATTATCCATTGCAGTTATTGAAGTAGAACTAATAATTGATCGAGGCGGAGAGATTGGTTTTTTCTGGAAACGTCTAAGAATAAATAATAATAAATTTTATTAATGTAAAAAAACAACAACAATTCAACAATCAATATTTACTCAATACGCATTGTTCGACGTTCAACATCTTGTAACAAGGCTAATCCTAGAATATTTTGAATTAATATAATCCTACGATTACATTAAACTCGTGCAATTTAAAAAAGAAAACATCGAATTAAGATGGTCACGATCGATATTAACATATAATGATCATTAATCTAATGCATCTCATGTCAAAAGAAATAAACATTAATAAAAATTGCAAGATATGTTTTCCTTTTGAATCCCTATCTAAATCTCACTTAACTACTTGATAGAAAAAAAAAAAAAACGATCAAGAGCCAATATAATGAGGGGATAAGACAGGAGTCTTTGTAGCTGTCGTTGTGCATGATTGAACATATATACAGGCAGTTTGATAATTGTTAAGAAGAGAAAATAGTGTAGGAAAGAATATTAATATATTGAAATAATAGCAAGTAGGATGAATAAATGTAACACCAACGAACGTACCCGCAGATGTCTAAAATAGAAAAAAAAATTTTTGTTAAGAGTATTGTTGTTTTAATAATCAATTGACCTTTTCTTCATTTATTGATATGGAAACAGAAATAGGTGCGTTTCCACTGGATGTTTTTGTTGCGGCCAAACGATCACGTTTTAATCGTATTGGTTTTGTATCATTTGTTGACGTTGTTTCTTCTTTTGATGACATTAATAACAAACGATTAGTAATCGATGATGTTGAACAAGCAAATGGAATGTCAACAGCTAAAACAAAGACATTTTGCTTTTAATTATTGACGTTTACGGACAAACATTTTTCTGAGTCTGATCCAACGAAGAAAAAACAATAAATTAATAGTAATAGGAATCAGTTTGAAAAAAAAATGTAATATTTGATTAGTTTGGATCCACATATATTGTTTCATCGATGAAAAACAAGCATCATAACGTTTTAGTCTGGCTGCAAGAATACCAAGCTATTATCGTCGAGAAGAAAATTCCAAAATACAACTGCTCTAAACTTATGTTTGCCACTATATGTCTGTAAACATTCTATTTTCGTTATGATGGTTTATCTAATCCATCAAAATTTCAAGATTTAGAAAAACGACATGCATGACCGAAAAAAAAACGAGAACATTTTTATTTCAGAGATTCCATTTCTTTTATATACATATAAATTTTTTTCTATACTTGGGTCAATTATTCGTTTTTTCAATAAACTAGATGATATATAGTGCATATGAATAATAACATCGATTGAATCAATACTAATACTTTATTATTTTGTCTTAGTTGAATCAGATTCAAAACAAAATTTTCTCAATGTTTTTCTTAGTAATAAAAGAATTCTTTACTTGATTTAGAATCTTGTTTAATTTTTTTTGTATCATTTTCTTGTCCGACCAAATCAATGTCAGTCTTTCTATCTTTTTCAGATGAATTAATACTATCAGATGAAACAACAACACGATTTGATGATGATGAGGATGATAATGTTGTTCGAACAATTTTTCGCTTTGGAACAGAAGTTGTTTCAGCAATAACAACATTTCGGTTAACACCTAATCGTGATTGTGTTGTTGTTATTTCTTCTTGATTGGCGTCTGGAGAATCTGTAATTACACTACGAATAGTGGATTTATTCAAACTTGGATTATTATTATTAGTATTATTGTTGTTGTCTGATAAATTCTTATCATCATTTGATTGATTAATATCCGACGGTACCGCAATACGACGTGTAATCGTTTCAGTTTTAAGTATGGGTAACGATGTGTCAGAATTTGATGATGATGATTCGATTGTATTAATTGGCATGACTAATTGTGTTTCACCTAGATAAAGAACTTTTCCAAAAAAAAAATTCAAATAGACATAAAACTAACTGATTGTTGGTTGAGAAGAATTGATATTAGCATTAGAAACAGATGTTGTTTGTGGTATTCCAATAGAAGGAGTATTATTAACAATAGATTTAATTGCATCTTTTTTAATAAGATTTGTTGATGTAGCTGCAAATAGAAACAAACTACATAATTATATTTAAAAAAAATAATCTTCTTACATCGAATTATTGATGTATTTCGTAAATTCATTCGTGGACGTGAATGAATAAATGTACAGTCAAGTTTCAAACAACCTGTTGCTGTGTTTTCATAGAAACATAATATGCCATTACTGATCATTGGACGCTAATAAAAAAAAATAAAGATTCTCGATAAAATATATAATTGTGATCATATACCTGAGTAGTACTATGACGAAATGGACAAGCAGGTTCAGGACAATTACCACGTAGCCAACCTGGACAGATAACGTTACATGTTAAAGCTAATGGACTATGTCGATATGTACATGATGAACCCTATGAAATACATTATTTGATAGATTTGATATTACATCAACTTCAACAAAAAAATCAAACAATCATAACATACTTTTGCACAGGATGATGTAAGAAAATAAAAACAATCTTCGTTCGATTTATACATAATTCTATTTATTTTCAATCTAAAATATTTTGAACAATAATAATTTATTTTATAGAAAATGCAAACAAGAACAAAAGAGACAATCATAGTAAAATAATTCATTAAGAAAAATATGCTTAGTGGTTGATGTTTACACATTTATATATATATATATACATATTTATTCATTTCTATTCGTATTGACGCATTATTTATACCAATCATAATTAATATATGCAAAAAAAGAAGTGGCTCCATCTCTTTGTTTGTTTTTTATTTTGCAGTTTATTTTCTTATCAAAAATTTCTTTTTTACTTATCTATAGAATAGAATATAAGTAAACAAAACATTTTAAAATCTATTCTTCATTCAAATTTAATCAAGAAATTCAATTTTTTTTATTTGCTTGTTTACATAGTTGATTGTGTTCGGCATATTTTTTTTTTCTTTTTGCCTTTAATATTGTTTCTGTATATGTATATGTCTTGTATAGGTAAAGATAGTTTCTCTATCTTGCATTCTTTATTTGATATCAAATATTAATTTCATTAAAATAATTCTTATTTCATTTTTTAGATCATTGGTGGTGTTTCGTTTTTGTTTTAATTTTCTTTTGTTTTTCTTGATCGATTCTTATTGCCCTCAACATCAAATACATAGATCTTACTGTGATTTTTTTCTTTTCTTCTGTCATTGATATTAATTCCTTGAGACTTAAAATCTACGATATTTACTTCAAATGGATTACGCATACGGACAATCTAATGATTATCCATTACGGTAAAAAATTTTTGTTTTATTTTATTATTTATTTTATTTAATATTGTTTATTTTTTCATAGAATTCTTGTTCCTAGCGATTCTGTTGGAGCTATAATTGGTAAACAGGGTTCAACAGTTAAACAAATCAAACAAAACACACATGCAAAGTCAATATTTTTCATTGATAACAAAAAGGTTGAATGTATAATTATTTATAGAATTGATGTGGATAAGAATGAACCATCAAATATACAAGAACGTGTGATTGCTTTTCGAGGTCAACAAGAAAATTGTGTTCAAGCATGTCGAGAAGTACTTCGTATTATGTATGAAGATGCCAAAAATAAAAATAAAGCAAAGTAATAAAAAAAATACAGATTATTTCAAAGTTTTCTTGATTTGAAATATGATGTTTTTTTTTTCATATCAGTGAAATTATATTAAAAGTACTTGCACATAATAATTTTATTGGACGGATTATTGGTAAAGGTGGTAATATAATAAATGCGATAAAAAAAGATACTGAGACAAAGTTTGTTTAAAAAAATGATTCATTATTTGATTGTTTTGATTTGTTTTTATCTTCTTAAATAGTATTACTGTATCAAGTATAAATGAATTAAATTCATATAATGTTGAAAGAATAATATCAATAAAAGGTGAATATGAACAACAAATACATGCACTTGAAGCAATCTATGGTAAATTATGTTTGGCTTATGAAAATGATAATGCTCGGTCATGGAATTATTCAACATCACCGTATCATCAACAACAACAACAACAACCATTAATGCAACATTTTCCTCAACAAGCAGTTATGATGGCTACAAGTGCTAATGGTGGTCCACCACTATTTCCTACACATTATGCTCAACAGCATCAATCGATAATTCAACACACACCAACAAGTAATAGTAATAATTCATCGAGTAAATATATTGAACAACCAACACATCCAACAGCAATATATCATCAACCTTATTATGTTAGTTAAATATAATTTGAGAAAATTAAGAAAAAGAAAAACAAATTTATTTATCTAATTTTAGCCACCAATGTTTCCTGTTTCAGGCCCGTATTATATGTCATATCCACCTACGGGTCATATGGTTCCTCCCTATCCTCATCAATATGGAAATGTAGCAACAAATGTAAATGGAAATCTTAATCATCAACAACAACAACAACAACAACAACAACAACAACATTCTCAATCGATTGTACAATTATCACAAAATGCATCAGCAGCTATGGAAACTGTTCATTTATATGTACCGAATACGGTGATTGGAGCTATTATTGGTACTAAAGGTCTTTTTATTAAAAGTATTATTAACAATTCAAATGCATCAGTTAAAGTAATTGACTACTTAATTATAATTTACTCTTATTGATAATCATATTTATTATTTAGATTAGTCCATTGAGTCCACATGAAGATCAAAATAAAATAATCGATCGACAAGTAACAATATCTGGAACACCTGAAGCTCAATGGAAAAGCCAATATTATATATATGATAAAATTCGACAAGAAGGTTACATCATTTTTTTTCCTATATATTGGGTGAACAAAACGTTTCTAGACAAGATGTTTGTTCACATTTGACATGCTAGAAAGTATACTTTGGACAAGTCAACAGCTATGAGTTAGAATGCTCTTTTTGAATATGGGCTTAGAAATTTTGTTCGAGAGTAGAAAAAATAATCTTTGAAAAGTCCCAAAAATTAGTTTGGACGGAACTTTTAGGTCGACGTTTCCAATAAATATGTTTGTCTACTTGAAAATATTTCATACGAGTCAAAAACTATAATTCGCGACCAGAACTTGAATATAGTGTTCGAAACGTTGTATCTATTTTTGTTTAAAAGTAACGAAGAACTTTTTGAAAGATTTGAAAAATTATTTAGCCAACAGGTTTTTGTTTATCCTATAAAGTCCTTTTCCGAACATACTAAAAAAATTGTCGAAATCGGTCTTTTTGTACAACGAACACTTCTCTACAAAATATAATATTGAACTAAGTTGTGCTCTCTAGTTTATCAAACGTGAACAAACATCTTGTTTAAAAACTTTCTGATCGCCTCTTATGTATCTATGAAAATCATGAAAAATAGATTCATCATTTTCAGGTTATGCCGGTGATGATGAAGTTCGACTACGAGCAGAAATTTATGTACCTACATCATTAATCGGACGTTTAGTTGGTAAAGGTGGACAAAATGTAAATGAAAGATTGATGCTTTTTTTTGTAATATGAATTAAGACGATTTACTTTTTTTTCTAGGTTCGTCAATTACAACAATCAACAGGTGCAATTATTAAATTACCAGAAGATTCACAACAAACATCAGCAAATGAGGTACCCGTTAAAATTATTGGTCCTTTTCAAGCTAGTCAAGTAAAATCGTTATGTATTCTTTATTATTCCATAAATCTTTTGTTTTGGTTATCTAGTTTGCTCAACGACGTATTCAATCGATTATTCAAATGAGTCGTGATTCAATCAATACATCAAATGAAGATATTAACAATAATAATAATAATAATAATAATAACAATAATAATAATAATAATAATAATAATAACAATAATAACAATAATAACAATAGCGAACAATCAAATAAGTCGAATAATCTCAATGAGATATCGACAATTGTGAATGGAAGTACAACTAGTGATGATGCTGTTGTTGCTTCTAGTACAATACGAAATTCTGATGATAGTATCACAGCAATGGATGAAAAAAAATCTAGTGATGAATGATGAAATTATTTTATCAAAGAGAGTTTGAACAAATAAAGTGCAATAGAAGAAGAGAGAAAAAAAAAGTTCAACTTTAAACAGCATTTATTATGTATGTTGTGCCCAACACAAACTCGGTGATAAAAATAAAATCTTCCTTCTTCTTGTTTTCTTTTCTTTCCTTAACTTCTGTGAGATTCTAGATTAGACATGGAAACTCATAGAAATCGCTTTTCATTTCTTTTTATCTCGACAAAAGTCGATGAACTGGTGTGCGTGTATGCGTGTGTGATTCATTTGTTTTACTTTTTTTTTCAGCTTGTTTTATCGTCTCGTGTGTTTGCTGTGTGTGTGTGTGTGCTGGCTTGTTTGTTTTGTTTTCTTTTTTTTTAAGCGCATCCGTCGATTTTTCTTTTATTTTGAGTGACGGACTTCAGCAATGCATACGCGTGCGTTGTTTAGGGTTTTTTTATACTATAAGTGGAGAACACGATCTGAAAAACAAAAGAAAAAAAACCATGGAAAATAAAAACAAAAACGAGATAATGATGTATTGTTGTTGTTTTTTTTTTTTATAAATGAAATTTAAAAAAAAGAAGTAAAATTTTGTTATTTGGTATCAGTATTAAGGATGAAAAAAAAAGAATTCAAATATAAATTTGTCTGGATCTATGTCCAATTGGTTGGACTCATTTTTATAGAATGGAAAAATGATGGTTTTGTTTATCACTTTCATCTAGATTTCTAATGGCTGCTTCATGGCTTTGCATTAATGAACTTTTCAGTTCCAATGCTAGTGTTATTTGTATTGTGGCTCGTATTCAATCAATCAATTCTATACAACGAACTCTCATACTATATGATAATGATGATAATACTTTGCATGTCTCGTTTGTCAATCTTCGCACACCATCTGATATTCAATCATTAGCTTTATTACCAGGTCAATATATTCAAGTTTATGGAAAAGTTATTCGACAAGGTGCTAATATTATTCGAGTTGATGCTCAAATTATTCGACAGTTAGGCATTGATTTTGATATAAATGAATATATAAAAGGTTTAATTCTAATGCGTAATTATATGGCAAATGTTGATAGTAATGGTGTTGAGAATGTTGTAGATATAAATATAAATCATGTCTTTGGATAGTACAATTAAATCGAATGTAGTAACTGCTTTTCGTTTACGTGGTCTTGATTTGAAATTGTAAGTAAAGATTAGAAGGATATTTCAGATAATCTTTTGTTGATTTTATTCAGTGATGCATCACAATATTTAGTTGAATTAGCTTCGACTGTTCCATCAGCTTCGTTAATCTCTTGGCTTGATCAACTTATTGATTTATTGACAAAACGAAATCGTATATTTCTGTTTTTTTCTTACTACGATATATTATTTCATTTTTGTTTTCTCTATAATAATCTAGTTTCATCATCAACTGTTGATAAAACACTTTTGACTAATGTTGTTCAAGAATTAAGAGCTCAACTTTCAAATGATTCACAGTT